GCCCCAGCCCCAGCCCCATCCCCATCCTCAGTCCCAGATTGGGTTCTTAGAGCCAGAAGGCTCCCCTTTGTCTCTTGGTCAGAGCCAGCATGATCTCAGCCAGTCAGCCTTTCTGTCTTGGCTGAGTCAGACTCAGAGCCACGGCTCACTATTGAGCAGCTCTGTCCTCACACCTGATAGCAGCCCAGGAAAACTAGACCCAGCCCCATCACAGCCACCGGAGGAACCAGAGCCTGATGAGGGAGAATCCAGCCCTGACCCTCAAGCACCCTGGTTTAACTTCTCAGCCCAGGTGCCCTGTGATGTTGCCCCTACACCACCCCCTGCAGTTTCTGAGGACCAGCCTACTCTTGCCTCCTCCAAGCCAGTAAGTAGCCAGAATTAGTAATATGCATTTGACTTCATCTTGCCATATGCTCTATTGCCTGGCTATGGGGTTGGAAGTTAAAGGAACTTCTAAACAGGAAAACTTCCTCTTACGGCTCATTTTATTCACAGGTCAGTAGACCCAGTGTTGCCAACCCCTGTTCTCCAGTACACTTCTCTTCTACCCCGTTGCCTGGGATTACCTCTAAGAGGCGAATAGGAGACTCTGGAGAAATGCCACAGAGTCCCGTAGGGCTGGGACAGCCGAAACGGAGAGGGAGACCTCCCAGTAAGTTCTTGAAACAGATGGAGCAGCGTTACCTAATCCAGCTGACAGCCCAACCTATTCCTCCTGGTAAGTGATTTTAGTGTGGTGTAGGATAAGAGTGTAGGTAAGAATGGTCTCCTATCTCATGTGGGTAGTATGTTTTGGGCAGCTGATTTCCCACACCCCTACCACATATACATGTCTTCTGCTAACAGAGATGCGCTCAGGCTGGTGGTGGATCAGAGATCCTGAGATGTTGGATGCCATGCTCAAGGCCCTACACCCCCGAGGCATACGGGAGAAGGCACTTCACAAACACCTTAACAAGCACAGGGACTTCTTGCAGGAAGTCTGCCTACGACCCTCAACTGGTAAGTAGATAAGCTTGACTCAGTCTGAGTTGAAGAGCTCAGGATAGGTGTTGAGCTGCTGCCATGGACAACAACCTGGTGGACTTCTCCCTCTGTCTTCTCAGACCCCATCTTTGAGCCTAATCAGCTACCTGCCTTTCAAGAAGGGAGTATGAACTGGTCTCCCAAAGAGAAGACATATGAAACAGACCTAGCTGTGCTTCAGTGGGTAGAGGAGCTGGAACGGCGGGTTGTCCTGTCTGATCTGCAGATTCGGGTATACTGGGATTGGCTTTGGGTAGGGAGTTGTTTTGGGAGGGCATTAATCCCTTGCATCCTGTTACAAAAGGCCTGGGCTCCTGCTTCACAAATGACTTACCATGACCTGATATGGGTCATGTTTTGTTTTTTTTCTGTGGCTAACCTTCCTCTTTTACAATGAGTTTTATTCTGTTCTCCCACCTGAAGGGCTGGGCATGTCCTAGCCCAGACTCTACTCGTGAAGACTTGACCTACTGTGAGCATCTACCTGACTCCCAGGAGGAGATCACCTGGAGAGGTCGGGGCAGGGAAGGATTGGCACCTCAGCGTAAAACTACCAACCCTCTAGACCTGGCTGTGATGCGACTAGCTGCCCTGGAACAGAATGTGGAGCGGCGGTACCTACGGGAGCCCCTCTGGCCAGCACATGAGGTTGTACTGGAGAAGGCTCTGCTCACCACACCCAATGGTGCCCCTCAGGGCACCCCTACAGAGATGTGAGTGATTTCCAACATCCCATTCTTGACTTTGGAGAGATAGGGAATAAGTTCTCTCTTCAGTGGATGCTATTCATCATCCAAAAATCACCACTTTCTCCCTCCAGATCATATGAGATCACCCCTCGCATTCGTGTCTGGCGCCAGACACTTGAGCGGTGCCGGAGTGCAGCACAGGTGTGCTTGTGCCTAGGCCAGCTGGAGAGGTCAATTGCCTGGGAAAAGTCAGTCAACAAAGTGGTAAGAGGTTGGGAGAGTCTGGAAAGGCTGATGAGCCAGCCAGCCATCTGGAATGGAGTGGGGCTAGATTACTGGCAGGCAGAGGCTTGAGGGTTCACTCTGCCTCCTTAACATCTTGCTCTAGACTTGTCTAGTCTGCCGGAAGGGTGACAATGATGAGTTTCTTCTGCTTTGTGATGGGTGTGACCGTGGTTGCCATATTTACTGCCATCGGCCCAAGATGGAGGCTGTTCCAGAAGGAGACTGGTTCTGTGCTGTCTGTTTGGCCCAGGTAAGGCTTCTGCTCTCTCACTTTCAGACTGAAGCCAGAGATTTTCTTTTTTATCTTATTTACCACCAGTCCTACAAATACCCTTCTATCATACCCCCCAATCTCTACTTAGAAAGAGCTTCAGACTGGGTGTTAAGAGACCTGGGTTCTGGTCTTTTTTTGGGGGGGGGGGACAAGTCGCTTAAATTCTGTAGGTTCAGTTGCTTCTTCTGTAAAGTGGGAATCCTCCTCTTTTACCTACCTTATTGAATTATGTGAATAAATTCACATGCCAGCTTATGTGCAAAAGTATTTTGGAGCCTTAATCACACTTAGGGATTGTAATAAGCTGGAGGTAGGCAGAAAATGTCTCCAGCTATTGCTCTCACCTTTTCCCACCCAAGCAGGTAGAAGGAGAATTCGCTCAGAAGCCTGGTTTCCCAAAGCGAGGTCAGAAGCGGAAAAGTGATTATTTACTAAACTTCCCAGAGGGTGATGGCCGCCGGCGCCGGGTACTGTCGAGGGGCCGAGAAAGCCCAGCAGTGCCTCGGTACTCAGAAGAAGGGCTGTCTCCTTCCAAGCGACGGCGACTCTCAATGCGGAACCATCAAAGTGATCTCACATTTTGCGAGTGAGTTAAGCAAATTCTGGGGAGGCAGTTGGGTCCAAGAGCTCAGAGAGGGTTGTATTTGCCTCCTGAGGTGGAGCCATCACTGTCCCTTGTAATGATAGGATTATCCTGATGGAGATGGAGTCCCATGATGCAGCCTGGCCTTTTCTGGAGCCTGTGAACCCACGTCTGGTGAGCGGCTACCGACGCATCATCAAAAACCCTATGGATTTTTCCACTATGCGGGAGCGGCTGCTCCGGGGAGGGTAAGTAGATGTCAGCAGCTCCTCCATTCCTGC